AAAAGTTGCATTGCATTGAGTTCTAACCTCTATGAGAATATCAGATTTCCCAATAAGTTCGATAACAGCATGCATACCCAATGGCCCAGTTTACTAAGAGGTCTGTTGTTCGTTCTGTTCTGTTACTCCACTTAGGTATGTCTAAACCATTGCTCATATGGTTGTCGATGGGCCGATTTTAGATGGTCATAGTCTTCGGCCCAGCCGAGAAAGAACAATGCTGGGCCTGACCACCCCTACTTGCTCCTGGGTATAGCAGGGGACAGAGGTCTGAGCACGGAGAGGAGGAGTAGGCTTCATCCCCGTATTCACTTAAAAATTATTTGTTCACCCTATTAGAGGAAAAAAATTTAATCTCTGTTCCCACCCTACAGACAAATTTGATCCCTGTCTTTATCCTCGCCACCGTCCCCGTCTCTATCCATAATAATTAATTTATATGATTTTAAGAAAAAAAAATTAATAAAACCTTACAAATGGTTCTGCAAGAAGAATGAAACCCTATTATATAACAAATAAATCAAAAAGAAAAAAAAGTAAAATTTTTTTTTAGTAAAAAGAAGAGTGTGTGTGTGGATAGATTGGGTTTGTGATATTTTATATAATAAATCAGTTATTAAGTTGAATTTTATCCCTTATACATTTTTCTCTCAAAAAATATCATATCACTTAATTCTATAACATGTTCAATCTCTCTCTCTATCTTATTTTTGGGGCAATTTTAGCCTTAAATCAACGACCAGCGACTAAGATAGGTGGCCTAAGTACAATGACGCCAAGACTCTGTTTTACATTGGGAACCAATCAAGGGAGTATCTGGCATGGACTATTACTGAATATCTAGTCACAAAACTCATGATAGAGAAACAATCTAATCCAATCCAATCTCCTTATATATAATTTTGTCCATTTTTTTTATATTTTTATCGGCTCTAATTACTTATTGTTATCATTATGTGCACCACTTTTTCTTTTTCTTTTTTGCTAATGCTCTTTTTTTTTAATTGTTGATTTTTTTTCTTGTAGCATAGTGCCTTCAAATACGGGTAATAACTAGTTGATAAATATGATATATGTATATATCAAATGATATATAAATTAACAAATAACATGTATTTCACCGCACATAATTATATTTTCAGCCATTTGTTCTCCCAATTTTGGAGGCATTAATTTTGTTAAGTTAGAAGAAAAGCTAATACATCTACTTTTCTATCCTTTCTATTTTCTTTTTTTACCAAACATGATGTTTTATCTATTTCTCTAACTTTCTATTCCTTCAACTTTTCATTCTTTTATTTTTCTATCATACTAAACAAAGCATTAATATCAAACTTTCACGTGCTTCCCAAGAGCATTCCTATCTAATTATACTAGTCAAGCTTAAAGGGTCTGGCTAGCTAATTAGTATCAGACCAAAACAGTTTCTTAAATGTAAAAATTGATTATTGGTCGACTTTGAACTTAAATTAAAATAGGACCTGTTCGTTAATTTGAGTAAACTTTTGTGGGTTCATATTCTATTCCGTGAGAAGAATAACGTAGTATATTAATTTGCTCAAATCGGATAAGAAATGAATGAGAAAATAGGCTTCAAAGTGACCCTCTTGAAATGTAAAAATAGAGGTTGTGCAATGTGAGATTTAACATTAATCTCACATTAAGAAGTTCTAGATGGATATAAATAGGCCAATTTGCTCTATGAGATTTGGTTCCAAAGGGTACCATAATTTTATGAGTAGAGCAAACGCATACATGTCTTCAGTTCTACCATACGCACGCACCGCCCGCCATGACTCAATCTGGGCTCGAGCATGGGTGTGGGTTAGATCACCCCCTATTTTTTTTGGAGAAAATTCGGTTAATTTCGGTACCTGTTACATTTGAACTCGTATTGGTTCGGAGGGTAATTTCCTTTTAGTTCGAAATTTTGAATTGTGTCTGTTCATAGAAAACAGTTACACAAGTGGTATCTTATGATTGTTGCATTTGTCTTCTGGGTTGTGTCTTTTAGTATGGTGACTGTTCGAAATAGTCACCAAACTGTCTATAAATACTCATACTCTCATTACCATTTTGCATTCACTCATTCATTCATCAGTCCATTTTCAGAATTAAGACAGACATTAGTACATTGCATTTCGGCATTAAATCAATCTGCATTTGGAGAGTACACAACAAAAATTATGGTTCGTTGAACGAGTAAATTTGAGTGATACTTCTACTCGTGTGAAGATCATTGCATCCTGGAAGGCAGACGCTTTATATTACATAAGCACTGTGTGTGGGGCGAAATTTATCTTAAGAACGTAGTGTCAAATACTAGCCTTGATCTACTTAAAATCCAATAATAGTTTTTGTTCTACAAATAAATTAGTATTTGTATTGTTTAAACAAACAGATACATCTAACTGTTTCGATAAGACTGTTGTAACTGTTTTGTTAATTCTTTTGTAACTGTTTCGTTAATTTTTTTGTAACTGTTTCAATTTTCTGTGTAACTGTTTCACACTTGATAGTTACTATTTTGTTATAAATTATATGTTTCAAATCAAAAATTTTATTTGGAATACTAGAATCAACAATTAAAATGTGCATGTGATTTCTCTAAGCGTTTTTTAATTACTATTACTTAATTCTTATATTTTTCCATCAATTTCTTTCCCTTTTCATTTTTTGGATTTACCAATGGGACCAAGGCAGCAAACATGGATGGATCCTCAGGTTTCATCGATGCATAGACTAGCATATTTCCAATCAGTGTGAATGCGAGAAAATATTCTTAATCCCGACAACAATCGACATGGGACTTTCCGATACAACCAAATTGGCCTCGGGTTCTGGTGGTGCCGACACTTCATTCCAGCTATCAACTTGCAATTAGAACGAGCCCATGGGAAGATAATGGCCAATGGAAAGCGTGTTGAGTCTTTTTCCATGTCTGTGTAACTTTCATGAGTAAATATTCAAGATAATGAATTAATGACGACATTATTATGATAATATTATCTCAAAAAAAAAAAGATTAATTGTAAGTTGTACCTTGAAAAATCGTTCAAATTTTAATTTGTACCCCCAAAGATCAAATATCTTAATTTGCATCCTCAAAAATAGAAATTTATATCAATGTGCACTCCTAAAAATAAAAAATCTCAATTTGCACCCTCAAAGATAAATAGAAATTTGTATCAATGTGCATCTAAACCTAAATTGATAAATTATACTTAGATCCTCTCATGTTTATCACTTAATTAATTGGACCTCTTCACATTTAGAATATTATTCCTACATCTCATGATGTTTGTGCACGTGTAACACGTAATCTTTTTTCGTTAATATCTGTTAATATAATTGTTAAAAAAATATAATTTTATCTTAATAAAAAAATATAATTTTATATTATCCTTTATTTTGTGGGTCCGATACATTCTAAAGTTCAAAATCAAGTTTACCATTTGAATATCCAAAATGTAGATATTTATATAATGTTTTTTTATATCCAATGATATATATCACTCAATTTGCAATCATTTATTCTATTAGACATTCAAATGATAAAATTCATTTTGAATTTTAGAGTATAGGGATTACATGTTATACGTGCACAAACGTCATGAGATGTAAGAATAATATTTTAAATTTGAAGGGATCCAAATGATGAAATGACAAGCCTAAGAGGATTTAGGTATAATTTATCAATTTAATTTTAGGTGCACATTGATACAAATTTCTATTTTTTTAGGTATAAATTGAGATTTTTGATCTTTGAAGGTACACATTGATACAAATTTCTATATTTAAGGGTGTAAATTAAAATTTTTTATCTTTGAGGGTGTAAATTAAAATTCGAATGACCTTTCGAAATATAATTTGTAATTAACAAAAAAAAAAAAAAAAAAAAAAGTGAACTCTACTTTCGGGGTAGTTATCATGTATAGGGTAGTTATTAATTAGTTTATTTATTAATTTTTTATTGAATAACAATATTATGTCAAAGTTGATGACACGATACAGCAAAATCGACTTGAAATATCCGGGTGGCCCATCATTGTACGCCATATTTGTCTGGTTTGCCGATTTGTGTCTTCGGTCAATGTTAGATATGCATGGAATTTAGCACTGTGACTAAAAGAGTGATCGGACAAAGAAGGGAGAGGGGGTGGGGTATAGCATGGTTTGTCCCTTTAGGGTGACTGTGGCAGCTTCAACTCTTCAATAGTGCAGTAATGTATAACTAGCAAATAATTAAAGGGAGATGGGTCACGACTTCACATGAAATGGGTTTACTGTATAGATTCCGAATTTTTCAATCCTTCATACACTGGTGTAAATGTGTGTCACGACATGGTGACATGACTCCATTACAAAGTTAAAGATAATAAAAAAAATTATATTGACATAAATTAAGAAATATCTTAATTTATTAATATAAATAATAAATGAGTCGGCTTGTTGGCCAACAAGAATAACTTTATTTTGACATAAGAAACACTTTTAATGGATATTATAACAAAAAAAAAAAATCCTTTTTTTGGTTTTAAGTTAGGACTAGTTTACAACATCTAACAAGATTTATCACACAAAGTGAAGAGAATAGAAACTTAGATAACCCCAATACAACATAATGTGACTTGATTCTAAACCCTAGTTTATGAGAGAATATTTAATAAAACGGTAATATCATGTCAACATTAATGCATAGTATCACTAACTAATAATAAAATTTTAAATTGACAAAGTGAACCCCATTTAATTAGTTATTAACTTACATTGAAAATAGTGAAAAGTTGCTTACATTGACGGGTAGTTATTAGCTTGTGTGAAAATCATTTCTTTATTTGTTTGTATATTATTAATTAGTAATACCATGTGACAATGTTGGTATCACCATTGCAATGAATATTTTTCCCTAATTTATGGCATGAGATATGTTATATAAACCTGTATTTTTAGGGTCTGCAAGGAGCATGCCAATTTGGTTTCTCACCTCAAAAAGCCCATCACTCCATGCACCCTTTAAAAACCCCATCACTCACTACAAATCTCTCCATCACCACCAGACCCTTCTCTTGCTTAACCACTACTAGTAATCTCTCCACCCACACTAGCAGAGAATTTTTAGACTTGAGAGGGATGGGTTCCAAGAACACTGCATCACTTGCTCTCTTTCTAGCTTTCAACCTTCTGTTCTTCACCTTTGTTAGTGCATGTGGCACTTGCCCTACTCCTAACCCTAAGCCAAAACCAAAGCCAAATAAGGGTACATGCCCTAGAGATGCCCTAAAATTAGGTGTTTGTGCCGATTTGCTTCGCGGATTGCTTAACATTGTCGTGGGTACCCCTCCGAAAAAGCCATGCTGTAGTCTCTTGGGAGGCCTAGCTGACCTAGAGGCTGCTGTTTGTCTTTGCACTGCCATCAAAGCAAATGTTTTGGGCATTAACCTTAATGTCCCTCTTTCTCTAAGCTTGCTTCTTAATGTCTGCGGAAAGAAGGTTCCATCAGGCTTCAAATGTGCTTAAAACTTGGCTTGGCTTGGCTTGCTCTCTACAGTGTGGCTTTACATTGTTTAATAATTAATACCTTGTTCAATATCCGATAAGTTCTGTTGTAAGAGTGGTGGTTTCCTTTGCTATGTTTGCCCTTGGGACTTGTTTAAACTTCACTGTAATATATTTNGGCTTGCTCTCTACAGTGTGGCTTTACATTGTTTAATAATTAATACCTTGTTCAATATCCAATAAGTTCTGTTGTAAGAGTGGTGGTACCCTATGGTATAACCTCTAGTTTCCTTTGCTATGTTTGCCCTTGGGACTTGTTTAAACTTCACTGTAATATATTTGCTTTTATCTATAAAAAAATCTCTCGTTACATTCGATATATTAGATGTGTGATTTTGTGGAGAGATACTAAATAAGATTCAAATTTAACTGATCAGCTTTTAGCATTAGTGTTCTTCTTCTATGGGAAACAAAAGATAACCAATTTCATACGTATATTTTTCTTAGTTTACGTGTAAAAGGACTTGGTATATATAAGAATGACAAATCGAGACAAAACGTATCACTCAACTTGGTAACACTAAATCTTGGAGGAAAAAACTTCACTCACGTCAATTGCCTTCATAGATTGTCGAGTTTGAATATGCTTGAATCTCAACTATGAATTCAAGCTTAAGCCAAATTTGATTGCCCATCATAAATTTTTCTTTTTTGAAGCTCATATCAATACTCGATTGAAATTCAATTTCTTGGATATATTTCCCTTAAATCAAACTTACAACTTAATATTTTAAGTTGGATTTGCAACAATTATTAGTCACATGTCCAATATTATCGAACTCCACTTNTAGATTGTCGAGTTTGAATATGCTTGAATCTCAACTATGAATTCAAGCTTAAACCAAATTTGATTGCCCATCATAAATTTTTCTTTTTTGAAGCTCATATCAATACTCGATTGAAATTCAATTTCTTGGATATATTTTCCTTAAATCAAACTTACAACTTAATATTTTAAGTTGGATTTGCAACAATTATTAGTCACATGTCCAATATTATCGAACTCCACTTACTAACTTGCTGTCTATTCAGCACGTAAAAGTTTAGCAAAACCATGTTGCTGGTGATAAGTCCTTTCATAGGCCGTGACCTTTCACACGAAAAGTGAATAGCATTTTGTACCACAGAGTCCAGTGCGTGACTATCAATTTGGTGGTCACAGTTTTTTTATTATTATTATTTTGTACAAAATGTAAAGTTTAATAAAGTTGCTTTGGCATGTCTCTTGAATTAGTCAAATTAAATGGTCCACTTCAACCACTCTTTGCATATTGATCCCTTATAATTATATTCGTCGTTAAATTTATTAAAGATATAATAAGATCTATCAAAATCTATCGATATTAATGTCGTTTAAGTAAAGATGAGTGATGCTGATAAGCACAAGTGTTACATTTGTTATTATCTTTAAGTATTTCTCACCTTACAAACAGGCTTGAATTTTTTGTATACAAATACCATCAATGAAAGAAGTTGTGTTGTAGTTTGGCTCTTGTTCATCAAAAAAAAAAAAAATACCATCAATGATACATCAAGCTAGGGCCGGTTCAGTGGTATAGCTATTGAAGCCACCGCTTTAGACCCCGAAATTTTACGGGCCATTTTAAAGAAGTTTTAAAAAGTCTAATGTTATTTTTAGGATTTTAAATAATTTTTTTAGATCAATAGTCAATTAAGTCCAATTTTATATTTAGTACCCCAAATAAAATTTTTAGACATAAGTTTCATTAAGTCTAATTTTATTCTTAGGTCCTGAATAAAATTTTTAAAACTCATGTAAGTCCACTTTTATTTTAAGGGCTCAAAATATATTTTGAGACTCAATTCAATTAAACCCAAATTTATTTTTAAAGCCTCAAATAAAATTTGTATACGCATGTTCAATCAAACTCGAATAGATTTTTTTGGCGCTTCTAAGAATTGGTAGGCAAAGAAACTTGTATCGCATTAGTGTAAGGGTCTTAAAAATATGTAAACAATACTCGAATAAATGCATTTGCATTTCAAAAGGCAATAATATAAACAATATTGTATAATGATTAAAATTTTAAAATTTATGTTAAAATTAATACAACCTCATTTAAATTTTCGTTTTAGGCCCCTATTTTGTGGTGGGCTGTCCCTACATCAAACTTTGTGTGACCAACTATGCATATATACTGTGGTTAGTTTTTTCTTTCTATTTTCTTTCTCTCTCTTATTTTAAAATTCTACAGGATCTTCAAATGTTAGTATTGATGTCAAACAAATACATTTTTTTTATATTTTTTGAATTGTTACTTTGCCTTTGTTGTGTATTAAATTTTAATATGGTACCGAAAAATCATACGTTTTCCAAATTCTAGAACCCCTTCATTTTATTGTGCAGAACTTCCAGTCACCAGAATCCAAGAAGGACACTGGATACAGTAGAAAAAGACAGACAGAAACGAGGAACCTTCCTCCTCGAAACCAGCAAATTACAAAGTACACACGATTAAAACCATTGGCCACAAACACTAATGGCCATTAACAACATCTCAAACAGTACCCACTAAGCAATCCAAACACTGAAAACACCAAGAAAAAGAAACAAAAAGAAGACTGTAAAGTTGTTCAGAAACAGTAAAAAACAGTATTGTTTTTCTTCTCTATGCGCATTTGAACCCAGAGGGAACCTTCTTGCCACAATAGTTCAGCAACAAGCTCAAGTCCACAGGAATGTTAAGGTTAATCCCCAACACATTAGCTTTAAGGGCAGTGCAAAGGCAAACAGCAGCTTCAACATCAGCAAGACCCTTAATGAGGCTGCAACAAGGAGTTTTTGGTGGGGTTCCTACTACAATATTCACCAAACCATTCAACAAGTCAGCACACACACCCAACTTTAGAGTGTCAATAGGACATTTTCCCTTAGCTGGTGATGGTGTGGGTGTGGGCTTGGGTGTGGGTGTGGGCTTGGGGGTGCAGCACGGCCTAGGGGTTTTTGGCTTTGGCGGTGGTGGGCAGGGGACATAGGTGGAAGTGACCAAAGAGAAGAGGAGGTTGAGGGAGAGAAGAAGGGCAGTGGAGTATAGAGCCTTTGAAGCCATTTCAAAGTTGAATGAAACTTCAGAAGGGATTGGTGATATAGAGGCTTGGGGTTTGATAGGTCACTGGTGGTGAAAATGGTGGAGGGGGGTTAGGCTTTTATAGATGGAAATAAGATTTTTTTTTTTTTTTTTTTTATGGAGTCCCATGTGGGCAGATTGGAAGGAAATCTAAAATATCTTAGAGAAGCAGGCTGTGCAAAGTTGGAGGATAAGCCTAATGGATTAAAAAGTTTGGAGTTTTCTGCAGCGATTCGTTGTCAATTCTTTCCCATTAAAGAAAATAAAATCTCCAAAAATCTAGTCATGGGAAGGAATTTCTATTAGTAGATTTAATGTGTTACACTATATCTTGTTTATCTTTTCTCTCGGATTGCAAGAGATTACTTTAAATGTAAAAGTGTATAGATGGAGTATTAGGGTGTAACTTGAGTTCAACCCGAAGATTTTTTAGTACTTAGTATGGGCTTGGTCAAAAAAAAAAAATTTAACAAAAATTGAATTTGGGCAATATTTGGATTAAGCCTTCAGATTGATGGGTTCAATCCAAACCCTATCTAAATTTAGAAAATCGGTTCAACTTGAAATTTGAAAAAAAAAATTATAAAATAGACATTTGCGCCGTAGTCCTTATCCATAGTTATTGATGTTTTTGAGCATATTACATATGTGATATTTATTTTGCTGTTTTCTGATTAGTTCTAATTAATATAATTTATAGAATTTGAGTTCAATTTCGACGATGAACACCAAATTGAATCCTATTTTTTGGCTTAATTTGAGTTTTGATTACTAAGAAACTCAATTTCAACTCGAGTTACAACTCAAATCATGTAACTTGAGATCAACCCGAATTCAAAAATTCAATCATGAGTTGGGCTTGAGTTGGAGTTGTTCAGATTGAGTTTAGATTGGGTTAGTGTCAAATTGAAGGTTNAATCATGAGTTGGGCATGAGTTGGAGTTGTTCAGATTGAGTTTAGATTGGGTTAGTGTCAAATTGAAGGTTTCATATCTTAGATTAAGTTTGAATTGATATCTTACTTACCTGAGTTGTACTGTATAGAGTATGTACTCTTTAAGTAACCACTTTATTTTTCTTTGAGGATGTGTTGTATAAATTGTTGCTTATCTATTTGGAATTGATACCTCAAATTGAAGGTTTCATATCTTAGATTAAGTTTGAATTGATATCTTACTTACCCATCCGAGTCGTACCGTATGGAGTATGTACTCTTTAAGTAACACTTTATTTTTCCTTGAGGATGTGTTGTATAAATTGTTGGTTATCTATTTTGAATTGATATCTCAAATTGAAAGTTTCATATCTTTGATTAACTTTGAATTGATATCTTACTTACCCACCCGAGTTGTACCGCATGAAGTATGTACTCTTTAAGTAACACTATTTTTTTCTTTGAGGATGTGTTGTATAAATTGTTGGTTGTCAATTTTCTTAGATTAATGTAACTATTTACTTACCCAAAAAAACAAATATTTTCATATAAACTACCACAGCTCAAGGTTTCCAAATTTTTTCAGTTGGCATTTGGCATTTGAAGGGGATTTGGATCCACTAGAGTCAGGGCCTACGAAAGAGAATTCAGTACTTCTTGGTCGAAGACGAGGTAGTCGAACAAACAGTGGAAGTTGCTCTAAGGTGGTGAATCATGGGGAGGAGACGGTGGCAGTAATAACGTTGATCGTTAATTTTGATTGTAAAAATAATAACAGAATTAAAATTACAAAACAACAAAGTTTACACGTGCCAAAATTTTGTTGCATAAAAACTAGAAGTACAGTACTGAAATATTATTATCGATTTCGTAACCAGACGCATCCTTGCACTTTTTTAGCATTCTCCAAGTCTGAACTCATCATAACAAATACTTACACAAGATTAGAGTTTGACAATTTATTTATTTATTATAGNGCATTCTCCAAGTCTGAACTCATCATAACAAATACTTACACAAGATTAGAGTTTGACAATTTATTTATTTATTATAGGGTGTATAGTCTTACGGTGACTATTTCCTCGAGATTTGAGATCAATCACCGTTGCATATTGTTTATTTACATGGGACATTTCTGAAAGACTCTAAGATGAAGACACGTGTTTTCGGTGTCACTAATCTTTGTTATTGAGATCATNTCAATCACCGTTGCATATTGTTTATTTACATGGGACATTTCTGAAAGACTCTAAGATGAAGACACGTGTTTTCGGTGTCACTAATCTTTGTTATTGAGATCATGTACCCATCGGTTCACAAAGTCCCTCTCCCCCGAGGTATTTGTCATAGGGATCAAGTGACATCCAGTACGTTTATGTACCGACACTTATCTCTCGGTCTGATATAGGTACATCGGTCGCTATATGTACCAATCCCCTCTCGGTACCGATATGTACCAATGTCCAGGATGACATTCTCTTATCCTGCAGAGCTACTGATGTACAGGTCACTAGCCTAGACTAGGCTAGGTTAGCTATCATGATCTCGTCTTATACAATTGGTGTCAGAAGGTACAGAAAGGCAGGGGCCACATCAGAGACAGAAAGACTGATGTGGCATATTGTGTCACATCAGAGACAGAAAGACTGCATGCCCTTGCTGATACACGACTTGAGAAAGCAAGCATTTAATTACATCATTCCCTTAATGAGACTGCATTCAATGCGGTAAGGCTCGGAGGTAAAAGGCAATAAATGTCTCTAAGACTGGACATTTATTGCATCCTCCCTGAGAGGAGCTCATTAAACAGTCGGCATGCCGATGACACAGCCTTGGTTGCTCGGGATCCCGAGCAATTAAAAGAGAAGACATTCCTCGTAGGAATTAGTGCGCACGTTGCCTGTATCTAATGATCACCTACTGACCACACTGACAGCAATCATGAGTATTTGAGGTATAAATACTCCTCGCAAAAGGCAAGGTAGGGGAGAACAAAAAAACCTTTGCTACAAATTATACTCAGTGTTTTCTTCTTCCTCTCTCTCAAAAACTGACTTGATCGTCGGAGGGGATACGCTGGAAAACACTCTGACGCCCTTCTAACTTGTCTTTCTTTGTTCCAGGCACCTTCCTGGATCGTTCCATTGACCAACGAGGGTCTCTCATTACCGTTTCAGGTTATCACCGGACCTCACAGGCTATCCCAGGCAACAGGGTTGACCATTCGACTGACTCACTTGAGTTCACCAAGGGAGAGATCTGTTCTCGTGTTTATATTGTGCAAGATCCAGCACGCACAATCTGGCGTCGTCTGTGGGAAACGACTAGTTTTTTTCTAGTTTCTTCTCTATAAAGAACAGTGACCATGGTGAATACTCGACAAAAAGGGAAAGGTCCCCAACAAAGAAGCCTTGAATTACAAGCTCCATGTCACCATGGAGGGAGGGATCACACTGATGGGAATAGAAATGTCTCTATTCAGTCAAGAGGGCCTACTTCTCAAACCAGTATGGGCATCAGGTCAGAAGAAACCGGCCCCTTGGCTCGCCAACTAGCGGAGGTGATCGAAGAAAAGTTTGGAGATCGATTACGACAGTTGGAAAAGGACAATGTGAACGTCCTAAGTCGGCTCAACGAATTCATCGCCTCCGGCGAAGAGTCGAGGGACTCATTCCTTTCTCGTGGGCTTCCCGCCCGGGAGGCGAAAACGAAGGATCTAAGGAATCATTTAAACAACAAGGCAGAAAGTTCTAGGGCCCCAAAGCGACTAAGAGTCAACGAGCGCCCTCTTAACGACCATTCCAGGAAGGCAAGACCTTTAGCCCTGGACGACCTTCGACGAGGACTGTCAAGACGGAGGAAGGGAGATGGGTCTGAGGAGGATTCAACCCTATCCACGCGACGCCCAGGAAATGGGGGACACATTGACGAACTCGGAGACTTCAGAAGACACCCCGTTGGGGAGAAAATTGATCTCAGGGCTCGGTTGGAATCCAGGAGAAATGACAAGACTGTTCAGGAGGATGCCGAAGACGAGGTCATGCAATCACCCTTTACCAGGGGTATCATAGAGATGGATGTTCTGAAAAAATTCGTCGTGCCAAGGTTCAAAATTTATGACAGACGGTCCGATCCCGAAGTCCACCTCAGACAGTACAAGCAAATGATGTCCTTGTATCATTCAGACCAACAGTTCCTCTGCCGAGTGTTTCCCATGAGCTTGGGGGACTCCGCGATGAAGTGGTTTGAGGCTCTTCCCCCGAACAGCATTGGATCATGGAAGGAGCTTACGAGACAGTTCCTAGCCCGATTCATTGCGGGGAGTAAGCGACCTAAAGACATCGGATCATTACTGACGCTCAGACGAAGGAATCCGAGACCCTTCGCCAATACGCCATCCGGTACTGGGAAGAGGTTAATGAGGTAGAGGGCTGCTCGGAAGTCATGGCAGCAGCGTCTTTCAGGCTCGGCTTGGCTAGGGACACGGACCTGTACCGATCCCTGACCAAGAAGACTCCCTCGGATATGGGCGAGCTAATGGCCCGGATAAATAAGTACTCAAGAATCGAGGACGAGATGGGAAACAGCAAAGGCCGAACCCTCCAATCTAAGAGAAAAGAGAGGGAGCGGGAGCGGGAGGATACTCCCCGAAAGGGANCGAGATGGGAAACAGCAAAGGCCGAACCCTCCAATCTAAGAGAAAAGAGAGGGAGCGGGAGCGGGAGGATACTCCCCGAAAGGGACTGCTACCCCCTCCGGGGGGTCATTCAAAGGAGTTCACACTATGTTCAAGGAAACCATCTTCAAGTTGCTCCACAAGATAAAGCATGAGTCATTTTTCAAGTGGTCGCCCAGGATGCAGAGCGATCCCTCCCCCCGTGATCAAAAGGTTAGGTGTTCCTATCAACGGTATTTCGGACATCGCACCGAAAGCTACAGGGTATAAAAATCGTTCTTGGAACGATTGGTCCGAGACGGATACTTGAAAGAATACATAGAGCCCAGGACGGTAGAGAGACAAACCCCTGCCCCGACCGAGGAGCCAGACAACGTCATAGATGTCATCCATGTATGTCCGCTAGATCGCCCCACGTCCAAGGAACTC